TCAAATGAACTCCTAAAAGATAACTTTGGTTACAAAAAGACCCAAAAGACCAAAACCCGACAGAAGTACACCCAATTGCCCCTGACGAAAATTTTTACTTATAAAATGATGAAAATACCCCTGGTCCCAAACTGTTAACAAAGCTACCCAAAAACATCAATTTGGGATCCCACTACAGAAAACATGCAAAACATAATACATTCACACTTTTTTTTTGCCTCATCATTCCTGTCGGATTAAAAAGCGCTCGACCCCATGCAAGCAACAATTTTAGTAGCCTTGCACATGTTTTCATCTAGCTTCATAAACTCCTCTTCACTAATCCAAGAGTTCTCAATTGATGATTTCCCTTTCCACTTAACCAAAAACCTAAAATAGGCCCCATTTCGAGTGTTGGTAACTCGAACATCTTCTACACCCTTTACTTGTTCCAACTCATTAGAATTACTGAACCTTTGTGCTAGTCATCACCCATCCTTTGTTGTTGGTTCTAGATCCTCATGGCAATCAAAGAGGTATGGTACATTAAAAATGGGTGAAATGGACAAATCAGCTGGTAGCTCAATTTCATATGCATTGTCACCAAACCGTCTCAACACTTGACATGGACCAATCTTTTTCTACTTAAATTTATGGTAGGTGCCAATAGGAAACCTCTCAGGCCATAAATAAACCATGACTAGATTACCCTCATGAAACTCTTTCATCCAACGATGCTTATCCTTAGCTTTTGTGTACCTTTGGTTGCTTTCTTTCAGTTTCTGTCGTACATTCTCTTGAATCTCTCAAACGGATTTAGCTAAAGCTTCAGCATCATCACTCACTCACCGCAACCCTATTATAGGAGCTAGATTAAACTTTTAGGTGACCGGCCGTACACAATCTAAAAATGAGTCTTCCTTGTAGATCTATTAACTAAATCGTTGAATGAAAATTCAGCTTGTGGTAGGATAAAATCCTATTGCTTTAAGTAGTCTCCAACTAAGCTCCTCAACAAGTTGCCTAAGCTTCGGTTAACCACTTAAGTTTGTCCATTTGTTTATGGGTGAAATGTACTACTATATTGTAGGGTAGTATCCATATGCTTCCATAAAGTTCTCTAAAAGTGGCTAAGGAATCTTGTGTCACGACCTGATGTGATAGATCTTGGCAATCTATGCAACCGAACAACTTTGAAAAACAAGTTAGCTACATGAGAAGCATCAGAAGTCTTTTGGTAACCAATAAAGTGGGTCATTTTAAAGAAATGATCAATCACAACAAAAATAGAATCATTACCCCTAGCTATTCTTAGCAACCCCAACACAAAATCCATAATAATATTAGTCTATGGTGCTTCTAGTATGGGTAAGGGAAGATACAAACCTGTATTTTGATGTTGCCCCTTAGATGTTTGGCACTTGTGACATCTATCAACATAATAGAACACATCCCTTTGTACCATTGGCCAAAAGTACATTTTGAAGACCATTTCAAGTGTCTTCTTGTGATCAAAATGTCATTTGCAATGCAAATCATCAATGAGTAATGCCCTCAAGAATCCTAATGGAATACATAACCTATTGCCCATGAATAAGTAACCATCATTCCACACAACTTGGCTCGAATATCCTTGTCACTGTTGTATAGCTTCTACAAATAGGGCCAAAATAAGGGTCATCTTGGTATTGGTCTTTGACGGAGTTGAATCCCATAACATTAGTAGACATTGTTGACACCAAGTGAACTCTCCTAATAAGAGCATCAGCTACCCAGCCTTATGCTTCAAAACAAAATTATATTCTTGTAGAAAGTCAACCCATTTAGCATGTCTTCCCTTTATCTTCTGTTGAAAGTTAAGGTGCTTCAATGCTTCATGGTTTGAATACAACACAAATTCCCATTGGATAAGATAATGCCTCCAAAACTTCAACGCTTGCACAATGGCATAAAACTTAACATCATACGCAAAATACTTCATTCTAGCATCATTGAGTTTCTCACTAAAGTAAGCAACTGGACAACCTTCTTGACTAAGGACAACTCCAATCCCAACATGGGATGCATCACATTCAACTTCAAATAGCTTGTTAAAATCAAGTAAATCTAATACCGGGGCCTTTGTCATCCTCATCTTTAGCTCTTGGAAGCTTTTCTTAGTTGCGGGAGTCCAAGTAAATTCACCTCCTTTCAAGCATTTAGTAATGGGTGCCACAATAGTGCTAAAATTCTTTATAAACTGACGATAAAAAGTTTCTAACCCATTGAAACTACGAATTTCAGTCAAGGTCTTTGGTGTTGGCCATTCTTGATTAGCTTGAACTTTTTCTTGATCCACCTCAATCCCTTTGGCTGAAACAACATACCCCAAAAACACCAACCGATCTATCATAAAGTTACACTTCTTCAAATTTATATATAACTGATTTTGTCTCAAGATTTCTTAGATTGCTATCAAGTGTCCTAAGTGGTTGTCATAATCTTTGTTGTGGATGAGTATGTCATCAAAATAAACTAGCACAAACTTCCCCATGAATGGCCTTAAAACTTGGATCATGAACCTCATAAAGGTGCTAGGAGCATTAGACAACCTAAATGGCATAGCCATCCATTCATAAAGGCCTTCCTTAATCTTGAATACAGTCTTCCACTCATCCCCCTCCCAGATACAAATTTGATGGTATCCACTCTTCAAGTCTATCTTTGAAAAGACTTATAATTAGCCAATGTGTCCAACATGTCATCAAGGCGGGGTATGGGAAACCTATATTTAACTGTAATCTTGTTAATGACATGACTATCAACACACATACGCCAACTGTCATCTTTCTTTGGTGTGAGCAAAGCCGGTACAACACATGGACTTAAGCTCTTACGGATCAGCCCCTTCTTCAACAACTCGGTTACTTATCTTTGCAGCTCCTCATGCTCCTTAGGACTCATTCTATAGTGGGGTAGGTTAGGCAATGCAACTCCCAACATTAAATCTATATGATGTTGTATATCTCTTAGGGGAGAAAGGCCATCAAGTAGTTCCTCAAGCATCATATCAGCATAGACATGAAGTAGCTTTTTCACCAACTCTAGAACAGGTGTTTCTTTGCTAATTTCTTTTGTAACCAGCATGTAAACAACATCCAAATTCTCATATTCTTGAACCAATTTATTTAAGGTGAAGAGAATAGTGGTTGGCTTTGTTTCATTTTTTGGAAATGAATCAAGTTGCATTGGTTTAAGAGTTATTTTCTTATTGTCTTTTACAAAGTTGTATGTGTTCTTGTCCCCATAATGAATGGTCTTATGGTCATATTGCCATGGGCGACCCAAGAAAATATGGCATGCATCCATTGGGACAACATCACATCATACCGATTCTTCAAATGCATTACTAATAGAAAAATAACTAAGCATTTAGAAGAAACTCTTAACCTCATTTCCTTTGTTGAAGAAAAGTGCAAAGTAAATCAGTTTTTTCTTTCTTATTTTTTTCCTCTTCTTTTCCAACAATGACAATGAATGACGATAATGATAACTAAGATTTCAATATAATACACCATGTATCAAGTATATCGTATTGCATCAACAAGCCCCTAACCCAAGAAATAAAGGGATTTTGAATCTTTTCGAAGGGTAGGTAGGCCTGAAACTAATTCCCTAACCAATCTAGAACAAAAAAAAAAAAGAGTTAAAGGTTATTGAAACTAGGAATAACAACAAGACAGGGCTGGGATTTACATAAGCCATCCTGACCTCGAACACATATACCCTGTCCCACATCCCAACAGGGCTAGAAATACAAGCCCCATCTCTGTCCTGGAGGGGATCAAGGATCCCCAAATTTACCCCGCCCCGCTCCAACCATTGCTAGCCAGCATGGTTTCATTCACATTTTAGGTTGGACTTGAAACTCTCCTGTCCAATTTGATTATTTTTGGTAAGTTCTTCTAAAAATCCCAATATCTTTATATTTTAATTTTTAAAGAGTATGTCAATTGTTTCATTAATAATTGGATCAGTTCTGATTCTTGCATGTCCCAAACTGATCCAAACCCAGAACCTATTATTTTATTAAATATTTTATATTTTCTTAGTTTTTATCATAGTTTATGTTTTACATGGTAAATTTGATAAATAATAAATAAAGATGGTAAATTTGATAAATAATAAATAAAGATGGTATTAATTAAAAATATTTAATTTATTAACATATAAATAATTTATTATTTTTCTATGATTTTTATTAATATTATATTATCAAAATTTAAAACTTAAGTTATTGTTTAAATAAATAAGTATAGTTTTCAGCATGGTTTTTAAAACCAAACCAGTCAGGGGTCCAGTTATTAGTTCGAACAGTCCGACCGTTTGACTTGAACGGTTGGCCCGTTCTGACAAAAAAATAAAAAAAATTAAAAAAAACTAGAAAACGGTCAAAATTGTTCGAACGGTTAACCATCCGGTTTAACGGTTTGCTTACTAAAATCAACAGTTCTGAGGAAAAAAGCGATTTTAAGGAAAAACAGAACCGGTGACCGATTTCTGATTTTTCCGGTTGATCCGGTTTTGAAAACCATGGTTTTCAGTACAATTGGACGTACCTGATATATCTGGATATTAACCGGGACGGTTATAGGTCTATATTTTGTGATTAATAATCGGTTGAGAAAAATCGACCCATTGGCAGCCCTATTTTGGCATTTCTTTTTGGGTATTGATAATTGGGCTTTAGCGGTTTAGCCCCACAGGGTGGCCTATGCGTAATTAGTGGATTAATGGGTTAGTAACAGGGTGAGAGCCTACCTAATGTGATTTAAACCCACATGATCACACCTCTATACGACGGATGCATTACGAAGGTACGACCCACGACCGACCGATTTGACATGGATTGGCATCGCCACTAAAGTTCAGTCAGATATCGAGCGAGAGATGCATCATGCATGAAGGAGGTGGTATGACAATAAGGACTTAGTTGGGATCGAATCGGTGGTCTGGATTCTGGTGTGAGATAGCGATGATCTCTTGCGTAAAAAATGATGCCCACCAACTTAAGTTGGAATTTATTTGTATTAATATATACACACCCAATAAATCGTTAAGTACATATAATAGTTGTTGGACCACCGGCCACCATGTTGGAGTTGGGATTGAAGCGGCCGGAGGAGGGGGCCGGTCTTTGTGGGCTTCGGGGGTATCACTGTGCTGGACTTCCGTTCATCTGCACTGGTGGTGTATTTGTCTTGGGCGATGGTGGCGCCGGAGGTAACCCCTCCCTTAGGATTTGAAATAACCAGTCCGCTTTGATGCCAGAGACATTCTGACGACTCCTACATGCAACACCACTTTTGTAGCCTGGAACCAACTTTCTGGGATTTCCTTGACAGCGAGAAGACCACCGTGTCACCCCTTCATCACCTGTCAAGGAATTAATCAGAAAAACACAAAAACGAAAAGGTTTCTTACGATTGAGTGTCGTATTAGCAGTGAATTTGAATGCTTAGAAGCTAAGATCGTTACAAATACCGGTCAACAATCAAATCCACACTATAAACAATAAACAGAGGAGAAGAATACCAAGTGGAATTGCAGTAATGCTCGCCAGAGAAGTGGTTAGAAGGAGAGACAGTATTGCCAATGCACTGGTGATGACGAATAATTTTGGCCGGAGACTGCCCATGGCGAATTCCCGATGCACTAGATTACGCTAAACTCTGCAATATTTGACGACTTGATTGTGTTGAGTGTTGACACAATTTATTTATGTATTATGTCCGATACCAAAGCTAAAGCAATAATACTTCGATTTGATTTGATTTGCGTAGCTTCCCGTTTGATGTAAAAGGAGAATTCACACGGTCGCTGGAAATGAAACACGAGGACGCCGTCGGCGGTAGTTGAAATTCAAAGGCTTCACTTGATACTTGAGAGTTGGAGGGTGCTTTGAACACGGTCGGAGCATTGGTGGGGTAGGACCATACTCTTCCTTTCTTCATGGGCTAACAAGTAGCCCTTCCCCCATACTGGCCAGGAAATTCTGGGCTTGGGCCTATTTTTGTATTAAGGCCCAGCCCGGGCAACATGCCTGTAAATTTCAAAGCTACGCTGGGCCTCAATGCTTCAGGCCCGCCTAACTCATATAATTATGTTTCATTTTAGGGAAATTTTATTTTAACCCCCACCTCACAAAATTCTGCTTCACCCTATAATTGGGAATAATGACAATGGGGAATTTGATGCTATAGGGATGGAATCAAGCCCAACCAGCTCGGCCCATGATCACCCTTGCAAACAGCCAGAGAACTTAGCAATTGAAACATCTCTCTCATTTAATATGGATAATACTCGGTTGGGTAAAGACAAAGTGAAGTCGGCATGGTGTTTAACTTGAAAATATGGTTTCCAAATGTGCCACAAGTAGTAGTAGAATGTACAATGCGGCAGCCTGACCAAAACCAACCGCATTATAGCACGATATCAAAAGCATGTGGAGCATGAGATGGAGTCGTAATGGGGATTACCGACTTGTTTTGATAATAAAAGTAAGAGAACCTTTTACATGTTACATACATACATGCATACATACATACATACATATATATATATATATATATATATATATATATATATATATATATGAGAGAGAATGGTCCTATATCCAATAAAATAGTTATCAAATTCAGCTAATTTTTCTTGTTTTTTCATGGGTGTTACTTTATTTGGGGAAAAGAGTTGCAAAACCTCGTTGTTTACTTAGAATCCCTAGCTGTGGCAAACAAACCTAAGCCAAACCCAGTCCAAATTAACTGGAGCATTTTCTAAAATGGTAAGAATTAAGACAAGAGAGAAACTATGAAAAAGTCTCTATTACAGGTGTTTATATAATATGTCGGTGCCATCATAATATGTGCATTTTAGTGTGATAATCTCATTTCCAGTGTGATAAAAATAAGTTTTTAGTGTGATAACATGATTTTTTTTTCTTTAGTTTGTATGATGTTTAGATGGGTGACATTCATTTTTACTGCTTGATGCTGGAAGATGTGATGCAGCCATTGTTACAGTAGATGTGATCTATATCACTGCAACATTTCCCAGTCACCTACAAAATGAAAATGTTCATACATATCTTCTTATCTTTCATGGGTTGGTGATGAGGTCAATAAGCTTGTTGGCAGACAAAGGGGCCAGAAAATATGGATCCTATTTGACAAATATGAGAGTAGCTATTCTGTTTGAATTTTGAAACAACTTTTGGACTTAAAAGTTAGGTCCATATAGCAACTAGAACAGTTCAACCCTCCATTCATGACATTCATTTGCTGGAAGCAGAAGAAAAATTTGCATTGCAATCATGATTTTTCATTAATGGGTTTACTGTAGTAAGTACCTAAGTGGGCTGCCAAAAAAATAATAAAATATTGGATTGATGAGCCAAAAGGTCTCCACAACAATAAGCAGCCTAACTGTTGGACGGTTTGAATTGATCATTAGCCCCAAGCTCATGGAATCCCTGAATGTGCAAAGAAGAATCATGGATGACTTTACAGGCAATGTTCTATTTTTAGTTTAAGTTTTATGGTTTAAGGCATAGATACCGTAGGATTTGATTATGTTCTACTGGTCCCATCCAGCTTCTAGTGATTGTAGGTAAAGATACACAAAATCATTTGATTAGATCTAAATCAAATCATCTATTAATTAATTATCGATGGCGTGAAAATATATTTCTCTTTGAGATGGCTTTTCTTTTCTTTTATAATTTCCATATGAAATATGTTAGGGAAATTAGACTCTAAATACACATACAATATTGACACTGTCCTCAAGCAATATGTATATAGAAAATGTTGAGATGGTGTGAATGATTCCAACTATTATTTCAATGGGTCCATGTAAGATGACATTTTCTAGCTAGAGAACCAAAGAGAACTGGCCGGATGTGTGATTTATTTGATGGATTACATAATAGCAGTGGTCACCACTCACCAGCAGATTGGTTCGGTAGTTGTGGTCACTTTCTTTAGGGATAACATAATAGTTGTTGCCACTTTCTTCCTTCCCAGTCCAGAGACTAAGGCTGCATTTGGCATTCCTTAAAAACAAGAATTTATCTCCTTTTTTGCATTTAAAAACTCAATGTTCATAGAGGCATCTTAACTGTAAGAAGGAGATAAATCATTAAAATAAGGAATGCCAAATGCAGCCTAAGTCAATGAAGGAACGTAACAATATATGTTTCTTATAGTTTTACTACCAACTCATGATGTTAATATATGGAGTCTTAGAAGCCAAGGAGGAAATCAATGCATTTCATTTGATCATACTGATGTTGTTCTGACTTCTGAAGGAGTGGGGAAATGGAAGTTAGGACGCCAAGGAAGGTTATGGTCGCCCTTGAATGCAATGAAGAGAACATCCATGTCTTGGAGTGGGCTTTGGATTATATCATTCTTCCTTCTTCATCCTCTTCACTTGTCTCAGATCATCTTGTGATTTTATTCATTGCGCAAAAAACTCCATGCACTGTTGCACTCAAAGGTTCTTCTTCTTCTTCTTCTTCTTCTTCTTCTTTTGGATGTCTGTTATATTGAAATTGTTACCTGCATCCTGCAGAATCCATGATCACAAGCAATTCATTTATTGATGTTGAGAAGAACGAAAACCAGACAGTCTATGGTATGGCTGAACAAGTGAGAAATATGTGTGAGAGAAATAACGTAAGTAATTGACTATACTGGTATGGATTTGTTAAAAACATAGAAAAGAAATAGTTGGAACTCTGTAATGTTAAAAAACTATGGCCAGTAGTATTTTTTTATTTATTTATTGTGTTCTAAACTCACGAGTTCAATCGGCATATATTCTCAGATAACGTATGAAATGAAGATCATGGTGGGAGATGCAAAGCTATTGATATGTGAGGCAGCTAACAAACTAAGGGTGAACCTCTTGATTGTAGGGAACCATGACTATGGAGGGGCTAAAAGGTATATGGCTCTTTCCTTTTCATTACTTCATTTTCACATCCTCTCTCTTTAATAGATGCCACATTTAAACAAGAAATTATAACTGATTCATGGTAGACATGAACTCATCAACGCCCACACATCTTAGAAAAATCATCTCTCTCTCTCTCTCTCTCTCTCTCTCTCTCTCTCTCTCTCTCTCTCTCCATATTATGCATCTGAGACCTCTAAAATGGGCTTATAATTCAAGTGTCCACTGTCCACCATGAACGCTTAGTTTGTGAAGTGTTTGCAGTATTTGGGTTACAGCTGAAACAAGATTCCCAAATCTGCAAGTTTTGAAATTTTTACAATGTGGGTCTGAAAAGAACCACTAGGAATCCGAAAACTTTCAGATATGGAAGCGTGTTTCCCATCATTTTGAAGGAAATATTCCAGAACTGGTGGGGACGAGGGATAGAACTTGATTTCGTTTCTGAATCCAACGACAGCCTTAAGGATTTGTTGAGATGAAACTTTATTGCTTTGTAGCAGGTGCTTAGTGCTCAGAACAACAGGATTAAACATGATGTAACATCACAAAGTAGAATTATGTAGAGATACTTTGTATTTTATCGATAGATAGAAAGGATTAAACAAATAGTTGATGGTATACTTTTCCTACTTACAGACTGCTCTCATCAAGCAGCAGTGTAAGCGATTATTGCGTTCAACATGCTAAGTGCCCGGTCATGGTTGTGAAGAGACACCAACGTGGTACCAAGGAGGAGTGTTGACCCCCTCTATTGATGAAATTCCATCTCCATCGGCAATGGAAGGGAATGCTAGGTGCCCCTTAGAGGTTCTGAAGGGACGGCTTAAGTCTGTACTCTTGGATGTGTTCTATTATTACTTAATTTCACAATTTATGAACTGTGAAATGATATATTAGCAAGCTATGGACTTCTTGTAAATTCTTTTTGGAATTTGGGTGTGGCTGTAACATGACATCTTTGATCTTTCTGTTAAGTTAAGAGAGAGAGGAAGAAGCAGAAGAGGGAATAACCCTGATTCTAGCAGATGAAGTTTGAATTTTTTCTAGTTTTCTTGTTTATGCTTAATTACTATTTGCCTCTATTTATTCTGCCTTCTTAAACTTACTGAGAAAGATGAACTAATAGGCACCAGTATATTTTGTACTTTTTGCTACTCACCACAGACATTTTACACATTAAGCAATTGGACCATGTGGGCTTGATTCATGGGCTCTCATGGGCTGATATTGTGGACCACATTTGCGGTGGTGCTGCACTAGCAAATCACACAGAATTTTGGTCCTGATATACATTGTTTCCCATCAAACCTTGCTATAAGCCCATGAACAGGGAGATGGGGCGTTTCATGCTCGGTTATATTGTCCAAAAAGTTGGGGTACAACTTGGGTGGACCCAACCTGAGCCGAATCAACCCAGTCCATATATATATAGGCCGGGCTTGGATTTTTAGCCTCTGGACTAAGCCTGAGTCCAAAAGTTCAGCCTTTTTTAATTTTTGGGCTAGGCTCAGGCCTAGTGCTCAGATAACCCAAACCCAGGCCTAGACACACACACACACTCTCTGATTAACTTGAGCCTGATCTGGGCCCAAACCTAATCTGAAGGCATCAAATTTCTATGTGGGTTAGGTTCAAATTGGATAGTTCGGGCTTGACCTCATACTCGAGACTTAGACCTAATTCTTAGAGTTGGGCCTGTGTTGAACTTAAACCCAACCCAGCCCACCTGACTTACACCCCCTATCAAAAAGACCAAAAAACAAAACCATTGCTTTCTCGTCCTTTTTTTTTGACCTGGTTGTAACCCGATTTAATATAGATTTCAGAGAGTTCCAAATGGATCAGAAACATTGGAACAAGAAGTGGAAAATTAATACAAGAAAGTTTGAACTAGTTATTTATTCTCTTCTCTACTTGATTTTATTTTTATTATTGATCAGAAAATGATGAAAATATAATTGTCCTTCTGAGCTACCAAAATAAAATGAATAAGAAAAATACATAAAAATAGCGTAAGACCCCAGTTGAGATGACTTATGTGGTGATTGAGCTGTATTGAGTGAGCCATAACTTCACCAGAAAGTTGACTTTTAGGCTCATATAAACCTATTTTCAGCTTTTTCACATTTTTATCAAATGAAACGTCATAGCTTTCCAGGTTTAATGGTTCATGCAACGCCAAAAGCCACTGTCTGAAAGCATTTCTTTATGTCTGTGAATATGAATAGTAGTTAATTGGTCTTTATTCTCTATAAACTTCACAAGGATAAGTTTGCTCAACAACTGACTTTCTCACCTTTTTCTTTTTTCTTTTTTTTTTCTTTTTGGTTTTTGGGTCCTATGGAATGGAACCTGGGCTTTTATTTTTTTCTTTAATTAATTTTTAACCACAACTATTAGCGTTTGGTTTGTTGTTAAAATTGAAACAATTATTAAAAAAAAAGAAATGAAGAAACAAAGGCTGAGTTTGGATGGAGTACAAATGCAAATACATACAAAATAATATAAAATACAAGATTTTGCACTCTACGTATTTGTATTTGTACTCCCTTCGAACTCAGCCAAATAAGAAATCTAGTTTCTTCCCATTGGAATTTTAAATAGTTTTGAGGTCCGCTGCATTGAGCAAGAAATGGGCTGTGCGGTGTTGAACTTCTCCCCTGTTTGGCCCGTACAAAATTTGAATCATGCGTTGCATTGAAAAATCAGTGCATATAAGAATAATTTTGACACTTTAAAATCTTTTTTGTTTTTTTTAAGGTTTAAAGCATATTTCATTCAATCAAGAAATTGATATAAGTACAGAGAATTGACAACAATGCCAATCAAGAAAACCCAGATATAATTTCTCAGAAAGAACAAAATATAAAAGTGGATGAAGGAGAACATAAAGCTCAGTTTGGAATGAGTAGTAAACCAGCACAAAAGGGTGAAATAATAATCACCAACAGAAGTAGTAAACTTTGTATTTTATATGTCTTTGCACAAAAGGAGAACATAAAGCTTTAAAAACTTTTACAACCAAACAAAGGGTGAAATAATAATCACCAACAGAAGTAGTAAACCAGTACATCTCCAATCCACCAAAAATAGAGAGAGAAAATGACAAAATTGGTACTACAAAGTAGCGGTAAAACTATGATTGGAGTAGATCCGCAAAAGACGATAAAACCCCAAAAACTGCTACAAGAGAATATAACCGCCGTCAATAACTGCATCAGCTGGAGAACTATGAACAGAATTAACGATAGATGACAAACACAAAGCAGCAAACACTATTATTGATCATCCAGCACAGGATCAAAGAGAAAGCAACCCCCTTGTCAAAGCCCCTGCAAAAAGAAAATAAAAGCACAAAAAAGAGACGAAGAAAAAAAAAAGAACAGTGAGAAATGGTTGAACAAAAGAACGGTGGGAAAGGCGAGGAAAGAAAAGAGAATTAGTTGGGGGGAGGAAGAAAGAAGAGTGAAAGCATGGGAGGAGGGAAGAAAAGAAACAAAAGAAAGAAAAATGAACGAAAAAAACGGAAAAAGAGAGTAATGAAAAGGGGGACTTCCCAAAAGAAATCTCTGAGCAGAAAACAGATGACGGATGGCAGAAACAGAGAAAAAGCTCAAGAAAATCTCGAGAGGAAAATTCTCTCTAAACAGAGAGAGGAAAGAAAAAGGCAGAATATTTTTTCGACATTTTAAAATCTTGAGAGCATGATTTCATTGTTTTCGGTTATCTTTCTACTGTCAACATAACGGAAAGGGTGTAGATTTCAGTGCTAGAAACCATCTGCCACATGTAAGACTTAGGGGAGGCTTGTGGTTTCATATGTTATCAGAAACTTCAAGGAGATTTCAGTAATTTAGCCCATGTGAACGACCCATCCTTTTAGACTTGAGTAATTAGATTTGGGGCAAAATCAACGGACATACATTTCACTGTGTAAAGATAAGATTGGTTGAACATGATCGTATATACATTTTATTAAATATGAAAGTACAATTTTGTGAAATGTGAATCAATGAAAGGAGGGGATAGACTATCCCGTTGTATAGTCCGAAGAAAAACAATATATTAAAAAATTAAAATATTATAGGTTGGGGCATACCCAGACCTGCACACAAAATCTAGACTCAGAAGTCTGGAAATTTCTGGGCCAGGCTACATAATCACTCCAAGTTAATACACTCCAAATTGGAGTGATCTGATCCTAAAATATCTATTCAGCTCAAATCCATCAAACCAACTAATTTGACGTTGAAGAAAATTGATTTTTACAAAGAAATCAGGGTAGTGAATTCGGTACATCCCACTGTTGATAAAGGTGGAAAAGATGTATTTAATTAATGGTTAAAAGAAAAAAAAAGCACCTCCTATATTGATTTTTATAGTTAAAAATACTGGTTTTTAGTAAAAAAAAAAAAAAAAAAAACACTAGGGTCCTGTTTATAAAAATGGGTTGTGCCCGGATCACTTCTCTTAAATTATCAACATTGTATTCACCTAGTTTATTGAACAAAAGGTTAGAGCAAAATGAACTCATCCAGACCAGGCTAATATGACGACGGTTTTATCACTTAGACTGTTTGTTTTTAAAGAAAAATATAGCTCACAACAGTAGCCCATTCCCCAACTTAGATACAGGTGGGATGGGATTCGAATTCAAGTCTCCCTTACTACCAACTAGCTGGTATAAAGGTCTTTCTAGATTTTCCTTTAAACCAAACACAGCTAATGGGCATCTTGTCCAATGGACAATAACTATGAAAAAACAGTCTCTGTATTCAATTTATCTTCTAATAGGGTATAGCGGTGTCAATTGGACTGGATTTAGTCCAATCTGATCCAGGCCAATGTGAGTCAATTACAAATGGATCAGGTCCAATCTAATCCAATAAATATTTTGGACTATTTTAGGATGGCCTAATTCAATGTCTTGACTGTCTGATCTGTTCAAATTCATTTTAATTTAGACTGGTTTCAACTCAAACATGATCTATTGATACCTATATTCTTATCTTATATCAATAGACTGGATATTAGCTTAATCCAACTGAATCCAATATAAATTTATTACGAACAGACCAGGTCTAATCTAATCTAATAAATATTTTGGATCGAATTAATCCAATTAAATATGTCTTATTAGTCCATCCAAATTGATTTTGGACTGAACGGACCAATCCATCCTTAGAAACTAGAACTGACAGGGGAATTCACTTAAAACCCAAGACAATACCCAAATTTAGTTCAGATACACGCTATTGATTACTGAATTCGAATTCTGTTCATTAAAAAATAAGGATTTTTTCTTTTCTCTTCATAAAAATAAGGATAATATTAAATGATCTAAACACAGTCCAGGCCTCCACGGGGATTTGATCGATCCGCACCATTAGTGCATGAGCCACAGCTCATTTCAAAGCAATTTTTTTTAATATCATCATCATTATCATCATTATTATTATTATTATTATTATTATTATTATTATTATTATTATTATTATTATTATTATTATTATTATTATTATTATTATTATTATTATTATTATTATTTAAGTTTCACGTTAATGCCCTCAGACACTGAGCCGTCAATTCCGCAATGACGAAGTAACGAGTCAGTGGGGTCGCCCTCATCTTATCCATCTTAACTCGTTTTGAGCATCGCTACAATGCATCATCAAAGGCATGATCCGATGACCAATCAACTGGGTATCCATCAAAATTCGTGGAGGGATTTTGATTGATCAAATTCTTCCAGTAGCAGCATAAATATTACCAGTAAACAATAGCCAACCGTGATCCGTCTTCCTCGCGTAAGAACAAAGACTCCCCACGAGTTGACACCTGGCAAATCAGTTTAATTTTATTGTGCTCTGGGAAAACCCAGGCGTTGGCGCGACATCCCAACTCGGCGTTGGCTGCCCCTGCCCCACACGGCTGTACTGGGCCATTATTTTCGGTTCCTTCACATGGGCCAATGGCCCATCCCAACAAACTTTATTATTAATGGTGAATCCAACCAACATTCCGCATTCCATTCCTCATAGTTCACACTTCACATAATTCAACTCTCTATTTGCTTCTCTTCGCGGAAGGTTTTTTTCGATTCATCTCAATTCTCAAGTAGCAATGCATTCAGCTTCTCTTTGTTCTCCACAAGCATTCGCATTAAGACCACAGCATCGGAAAGTTGGACTCCGGCAAGGAAAGGGGTCTGCCGGTAAGATCATGGCCGCTGGAAAAGACGACCATGACTGGGATAGCAGTGGGAGACTTGTGGACGAGAGCATGATCGTGCTGCGAAAACGCATTCAGGAAATGAAGATGATGGAGAGAAATTATGAACCCCCCTCGGATTGGACGGAGTGGGAGAAGAAATATTACGCAAGCTACGATTCATGCATCTGCAGAGCAGTTGGGCTATTGCAAACCCAATTGATGAAAACTAGGCCTAGTTTGGCTCTTGGGATGGTGGCACTCGTTCTATTGAGCGTTCCAACTTCGATGGTTATGATCGTGTTACGCTTCATGGAGACAGCTAATGGGGTTTTGTCTGAAATTCATCTCTGATATGTTACTTAGAATTTAGACAAAATGTATGATGCATCCACTACACTGCATAAAAAAAGATATGGACTAATAACATCTTTAATTAAATGTGAAATTATACCTTGTTAAACATAAAATTACATTTGTAAAAAGTGAATTAATGAAAAGTAAAGAATCTTTACTTATATTGGTTGAGATTAATGTCGTGAATATCAATGAATGCATTGTGTAGTTGAATTCTAAAATTTGATGGATTCAATTATGATACTACAAACACATAATATCCGAATAAAACTTGTAACCAATCAACGGTTATTAACAGTGGTACCAATTGAATGGGTTTTTATCAAATTCACAGGTGTTTTGATTGGTCAAAGTCGATCGGACCGGTTGAACCAGCATGATTCAAGACATTGGCTGCTTCAGTCCTATCTTAAAAACCAGACGATTAAAAATAAAAAACCAATCAAAACTAACGGATCAGCTAATTTAATCAAAGAACCGATTCTGGTTTCATAAAACCATAAATGTCACTTTGTAGGTGTTTGGCATCAGTGCTGGGCATGTGTGAGTTCTAAGCCTTATTTTTTTGTTTGGAAGTGGTGCTGCCACATAAGCTATTTTTTTTACGAAAACAGCACTGGTTTTGTTTGGTACCAGTGCTGTAGAACCGTTTTCAGCATTGATCATATTATCCAATGTCCAAGATTATACCATATCATTGCACCACTGACAACAACGAGCTGTTTTCTGAGAAAACGTCAAATTTGGCATTGCTTCATACCACACCTTTTGAATTTCCAAGGTGTGGTCTAAAGCAATGTTTTTTTATGGAAAATGGTACGTACCAAATAAGATGTCATTTTCTGAAACACCGCTTTTTCTGATGTTGCACCTACATGGCACCATTTTCTCAAGAAACGGCATCCATGCCAAACACCCACTTAGTGAATTGAAAATTCAAAATAACAATTATAAAACTTGAAATCATGACCTTTTATTCATGTATTACCATTATTCCATTTATTTATTTGTCTTCATTTTTGCCTCTTTAATGTATATATTGTTTTAATTCACGTGTATTCCAAAGAAAATATGAGTGAAGAGGCTTGAACCTTAGCATTAAAAATTAAAGAATTAGCCATCTATCCATCACATTTAAGTCTAATATTATTTGTAAAAATATATTATACATACATATATATATATATATATATATTCCACATCATCACTGGTTGACATTTGATTTGACCGCAACTGAACATCCAACCATTGAACCTCTCCCTTTTCTAGTTCTCTTCCCGATCTTGTCCTTTGAACATTGGATTTTTCCTTTATTTATTTATGTTTTTAGGCTTATACAATCTATACTATATCTATATTATATATATAAAGCAAGGTTGTCCATATCATATCAACAACCTTCTTTCTCCTTTACCCCTTTTTTTGCTTCCTCCTTAACTCTTTGGGGGCATTCATTTTAGTGAATCCCATTGACCAAGAAACCCATATTCTTTTTTCATATTGACGTGGGACCAGGGAAAGTTTATTTTCCTAGGTATCACTTGATACTTATCTCCTTGGTGAGTAAATAACTTTCCCACCTAGGAGGAAAAGTTGCCAACAATTGGATAAGACAAAAATATCCCTTTTAAAATTGGATTTTTATGGCTAAAATGGTCATTGTCTTATTTACTTGGAAAATAAAAGAACATGAGTAAGTAACTTACCAAAAAATAAACAGGGCCTTTCTCTCCTTCCTCCCTCACCCCTTCCCAGCCCTTTTCTTAAGGCCACATCAACACCCCTCTTTCCTCCATCCACCCCCTTTGAATATATCCTCAATGCCTTACAATTCTATCAAAGGAAATTCTATGCTTTCCCATTTTTTCTTCTTTTCACCTAAGGCTCAATTTGGTTTGTGGGAAGATTTGGGTGGGATGGGATGGAATGGAATGGGAAGGTGTAAAAATTTAACTTTCCATTGTTTAGTTTATATGGGAAAATAGTAGGAAAAGTACTGCCATTGTCTGCCTGTTTCTTCGTCGGAATGAGAGAGAGATGGGAGTGCTGAGAAAGTAGATCGCCGTTGCCGATAGTTGCAGCGCGATCAAAGAAAGAAGGAAATTCAAAGGGGAGGAAGACGGGAAGAATAGGAAGAAGAAGGTGAGGGAGAAGAGAGAAGATGAAGATGGAGGGAGAGACAAAGAGACGGATAATAGATCGGGAGAGGAGATTGTCATTCCTCTACCACCCTTGTTCAAAGAGAGGGAGACAATGAACAGTGGAGAAAACGGTGAAGAAAACGGTATCCGGTTCCTCTCTCATGGAGAAAATAGTGGTTCCTTGCCAGTATCGGGTCCTCTGTTGTCCCTATTCAAAGAGAGGGAGACAATGAACAGTGAACAAACGTATTTGGTTCCTCTATTGTTCCTCTGCCATGGAGAAAACAGTGGTTCCTTGCCAATATCTGGTGAAGAAAACAGTAGAGAATAGATCAGGAGAGGAGAGCGTCGTTCCTCTGCCGTTCGCCACCGCTGTCGAAAGGAAGGGAGACTATTTTGGTGTGACCGTGGTAACTTAATCGCTGGTTCGTCGTCGTTGTTTCGTCGTCTTACTCCAATTGAAGAAGAAGGCCCATCCCGTGAATGAAGAAAACTCGAGTTTTCTCAAGTTTTTCCACTAGGGTCGCACTGTTTTGGTGCGACCTCGATTATACGATTTTGAGATCCTACATCCCACGTTTTTCTCATCCCATCCCCCTATTTCCCTCAAAACAAATAAGAGAAAAAGGAATATTTTTTCGAATATTCCCTTTTTCCCATCCCATCCCACAAACCAAACGAAGCCTAAAAGTCAGTTTAAAATATCTCCCACTCCTAAAACCTCTCTTAAACTATTGCCTAAAATTAACTCTCACGTTTCCTTTTAAATCTCTCTCTCTCTCTCTCTCCATTCAGAAAAAAAAACTTTAGTTGTTGAGAGCCAACAGCCTATGCTATTGAGAGAATTTTTAGGAATGCCAGTTACCATGAGAATGGGTAAATTAATAATTACATATTAATTTATTTTTACTAAAAATCAAAGCATGGGCGTAAATAGATGAACTGCCCAACCAGTTTAGAAACTTTATCAACAGCCTATGCTTTTGGACTCCAACAACCAAAGTTAACCCCTCCAATCATATTTTCACTAATTGCTCTTACTCCACTTTGAAGAAAGAGAAGATGTTAAATGATCTGTCACATTGATTCACTGTGAAATGAAATTGGTTGGGGTCAGTCTCAAATTATTGGAGTCCGAGTATGATACCCGAAATGGATTGGTATAGAACTTGATACCGATTGATCGGTATCATATAATTAATTATAAAACAATCAATTGATATCATACAAATCGTATTTTGATTGATCAAAAAGCTCTTTTCATGCAAGTCATACCTTTCCAACATCAAGATGGCCAGGTGGGAGTGGGGAAAGGGACAAGAGCCATATTTATATAATATCTAAGATCCATTAACTTGCCAAGTACAATAAAAAAGTAAGTTTTATTTCTCAAATAAGAATCAAAGTCTACTAATAGATAGGTATGTAAATTTTCTCAACCCCCATCAAGTACCCAGCTTCCCTAACCCAAATGGGGTCAGTGTTGGAGATTACTTTGGTGGAGATGGGGAGGGTTGAGGATTGATAATGATACTCAACCGGGAACAAGGACAAGGATGGGTATGAGGAATGAATTCCCCACCCCAACTTGGCACTGATTAAAATATATATATAAATCTATTTTCTAAAAATAATTTAAATTTTAAATTTTAAAATTTTGGGGATTCAGGTCCTCGACAGAGAACCCATTCCCACCAGGGATTGAGGTCAGCAATGGGGATTTGTTTCAAAGTTCGAGTCAAGGGCAAGGAATATGGTCCTCACCCCTGAATCCACCTTGTTGACATTCCTATTGATAGACATCTATGAGTCAAGTCTGATTCGAAATAGGGTATACCAGTCCCATTCCCATTATTAATGAGGATAATAAGAATGACCCAGAATCAAATTAATTATTAAATTATGACATTCTGGTCTAACCTAACCCAATTATACTTGACACCTATAATTACCAATGATAATAACAATTTAGAAACTTCATTTTGATAATATAACCTTAATAAAACTAAAATTAAGATGCTAAAATGTTTATATGTTGATAAAATATGTGTTTTTAATGATAATTAAATTATTTACTATTTCTAAAATTTATTTTTTAGACATTAAAATAAAACAATAATTACAAAAAATATGTCTTTATTTTATTAACTATATAATTGGTTTGGATCTTAATCGATTCAAAATATCAAAAACCAGACACAACCCATTATTAATTGGGACAAAACCACCTAACCAAACCAACATAATTGGTTTGATTGATTCAATTTTATCCAGTAAACTCAACCCACCAACAGCCCTATCTACTAAACAATATTATTTTGCAATGCATGGGTTTCAATATAATGCTAGAAACATCAAAGACAATGCGTATGTAATCATTATATGGGTTCTACATAATCCATTCTACCAATCAGAGGAAGAAGTCAACGAAAACTGGGTCAAGATTGGCCCATTTCAACCCACCCACATTGAACACAATCACTGTGCTCTACATAGATGTGAGTAATTCGACTTGATATATGATCTGTCTCTTGGATGGTTGTGCCTTACCTGTCCATTTAGACCAATTCACTGGCCAAATCAAATGACCAACAAACATGTTTGAACTAGTTATGAAGTTGATTTAGCTTGGTTTTGACATGCTTATTTTATTAATTATCTACTATATTATTATTTATAACAGTGGATTATAAATTAATAAAAATATAACACAAAACTTATAATTTTAAATTTCATTTGTGATTAATTATTAATAATACTATAATCATTAAAAAATATCACTAAAAATATGAAAATAGATTTAGTTATGGATTAAAATAGACAATTAATAAAATAAACTGGAATTTTAAAATTTACAATAAATAAAATTACAATGTTTGTTAATTTAAAATCCATTTAAAAATAATCACATTAATAAGCCTATAAAATCAATCAAGAAATTTTAAAGTTA